TAATGTTTCTTGCAGTTGTAGTTGAAACGTCTGGAAGAAAAATTTCAAACAACAACCTAAACGCGAAAATTTTCGAAAATAAAAGAACCGAACGTTCTCTTCTGAAACAATCACTTTCTATTAAATTAAAATTCAAATAGAAGTAAATTCGGTTTTCTGGAAACTTAATATATTAAAAATATATAATATATTATAAAAAGTTCTTTTCAACCAATGATTTCCTACAACTGAAATTCTTAGTGAGAGCGCCCACCAAAGTGGCGTGGCAAGTAGCACGCGTCTAGCATGTTTCTTAAAATTTAACCAATGAAAGCGAATGATTAGAATGAATGACGTCACTGTCATTTTGGTGTGCGCTGAATCATTCGTTTTCATTGGTTACATTTTAAGAAACATGCTAGACGCGTGCTACTTGCCACTTGCCACGTGCCACGTCACTTTGGTGGGCGCTCTCACTTAAATATCACATAAAATGCGTTAATATTTGTACTTCATGAGGTGAAATTTGACGGATCGTGTCTTTAACGTCACAGATTTGTGTAAATAGACCTTTAAGACTCTAGCACAGAATAATAAATAATCAGACTTTAGTTTATACTGCTATTCATTTTAAGGCAAATTTAACAATTTTTATTTGGTTTAATCAAAAAGTCAATATGCCACTTATCACTCTTGAAAGTTGGAATGTCCAAGCATGTTCTTATAGGAGCTTCTGCAGGTTTTATCACGGGAATAGTTACAACTAAAATAGGAAAATCAGCAGCGCTTTTTGTTGGAGGAGGTATGATACTACTTCAGATTTTAAATGAAAGGGAGTACATTAACATAAATTGGGACCGAGTCAATGATAGAGTCAGTAATTCAGCTGAAGATAACATAGTTAATGGTGCAGTTTTATATTTACAGAAGATCAAAGATTTTGTAAAAAATAAAAATGTTTGTATAAGTTATGGATTCGTAGGAGGATTTTTGATTGGAATAGCAATTTAAAAACATATTTTAAAAAATTATTTTTATATTGTGTTATCCTTAAAAGTACAAAAATGTTGATACCAGGAGCAGGAAAAGTATTTTATTTTCGGAACACTTTTGTCCGTATTTTCAGTAATTTGACAAGGTACTGCATTCATGCATAAAGTTTCGAATCGGTATTTAGATTAATTCTTTTGTAACGCCGTACATTTTGAGTGGGACAGGGTCAGAAATCTAAGACGCAACCCTTAATTTGAACACCCATGCTTGGTGTACAGATAAGAATTCGCAGCATAATTTTGAAAGTTGTAATTACATATTATAGTATTGATTCATAAGTGATTCATGCTGAGTCAAATGACCCATTAAAAATGTCCCATGGTCTATTACTTATATTTTATATTTTATGTTTAGGCTAAGTAAATGTAGCAAGTTAAACAAATAGAAGCTGAATCGTTTAGATACAAGTATATACATTATTAAATCTTATATTAACAATATCATAACCTATTGTATAATGTTTGTGTTTTATTTAGAAATTAGCATAACAATAAAACAGTTTTCATGGTATCTAAATTATGTGTTTGATATTTTAAACTAGCAATATGGATAGAACAAATATGAAGAATGAAACCTTAAATATAAATGATAGAGAAATAATAAGCGAGAAGATAAACAATGAAGAAAACTAAAAGTAACATTAAGTTAGAGACGTTAGATAAAGAGAATAAAGGGGTGCAAGGAATTGAGAAGAAGTCTAAGATACTTTCATTACTTCTATTTGAAAGCCAATCTCATAAAAATATAGTTCTAATATCGTGATAAAAAATACTATAGATTTATAAAGAAAAATACTAACATAGCATATAAACCAATAGATCGTCAATATAGAGCTAGAGTTAGAAAAGCGATTTTCTTAAAAACCAACAAATAATCTGGTAATTAGAGATATCAACAGATATTAACAGTTTTAAAAGAATATCTTAAACAGCACAAGAAAATATCTTTATTAAGAACTTCGATAACGAAAAATAAAAATATTTTACAATAAAATGAATATCGTGGAAATAATAAAATTTTGTTATTATAGAGTAGAAGAAACACAAAAGGACACATAAATAAAAAGATATAAATTAATAATACCCTGTGGGGTTTGTAGAAAGCAAAATAGAGGTACAGTTTGACAAAACTAGGAGTGACTTTGAAAATCATATAATCGTCACGCTGTTGTGATTTAATATCACAAATGGTAAGCATATCTGGATATGACCACATTTAAACGCTGTGAATAGAGAAAAGTGACGCAAAAGAATCCTTTACATATAAATATATATATCTATCTCATATTCCACGATGCTCGTACATGAGAAAACGACTACGAAGAATGAGGTGCTAAAAGAGTAAGTTTCTTCTCTTTATGTAGACATGACTTTGTCTGTTTTTAATGTGCCTCCAGTAACTTGCCGTTTTATCGTTTTCGTGTTCTTCCTACTGATCATCTTCCTATTGGAGAACCGTCTTTTGGAACCTATGATCGTTCCATTCTACTCTTCTATTTCTTACCCAGTCCTTGATGTTCTTCACCTTATATCTGTAGTTCTAGCTCTGTCTCATAGTCTTTTACCATATTTTTGTTTGTTTTTAAAGTGTTTTCGTCTATGCTGTTTCTAACATCCTTTTTGTCCTCTCTGTGCCAGGTCATGTTTATGCAGCGTATGTCATTATTGATGACGATAATTTGATGCCGTTTTCCATAGATAATTTGATGCCTAGATATATAAAATTCAATCCCTTGTTCTATTATCTGATCTTTAAGCTATAATTTACATCTTAGTAAATTTGCTGTTAAAACCATGCATTTACTTTTTTATTATTTCATCCATAATTAGGTTGAAGGATAGAGGACTTTTATTGTGTTGTTTTGGTAGATATTTTCGTTCTTTTTTATTATTCCTAAAGGAATCTCCCTTGTACACCATAAGTGGATAAAGTTATTTAATTTTACCCGGTTAAATACCTTCTTAAGGTCCACGAAACATAGACAGGTTTGTTATATTTTAATGATTTCTCTTGCACTTGCCTAAAACCTTGTTGTTGTTTTGATGGTGTTAGAATTTCATTCAGTTTATTTGTTATCACTTTGGTTATTTAATTTAGTGTTGTTTTTAATAAATTAATTCCTCCTTAATTTTCCGTGTCTGATCTGTCTCCATTTTTGAAGAGAGGTATTAGGATGCTTGATCTTCATTCTTGAGGAATTCTGTTTTGTTCTATTAGTTTTTGGATTAATTTTAGTAGTTTTTTAATTATATCCAGCGACCGTACGTTAGGAGTCTGCTGTTGGTGGTTCATTATTGTCACCTTAAGCAAATAGGGATCGAAAGTAGTCTGCCCATGTTTTCGTTTACCTCTTTTCCTTGACTTCTGATCATTCTCCACATTTCTTCCTGTGTTTCATTGAAGTCGTGTTCCATCTGTTTTGAAAAGCTCTGCCAGTGTTCCCTTTTTATTCGTCTAACTAAAGTATTCGTTTCATTTTTGATTCGTTTATAGTGGTTGTATGCCTGTTGTGTTCACTTTTGTTCGTTTGTAAAATGCCTTTCTTCTTTTCTTCACATTTTGTCTTCACATTCTCTCTAAATCATGGAGTTTTCTTTTTTGATGTGTTAGTGTTTGATACTTTTCCCTCTCCTAGTGACTCTGTTGCTGTGTTAATTATGCCATTTTTGAAATTTTCTCAGCTTTCCTTGATGTTATCGTTTTTTAATATTTCCTTCTCAACAATCTTCTGTGATATTCTTTTTCTGTAGGTATAAATCTCTCATGGATTCCGTATTTAGTCCTTCGACTTCGATTTTTTGTTTATGTTAGTACCGCTCTCTTGGGTCTAAAATATTTCATGATAATTCTTATTTTAGATCATACTAGGCTATGGTCGCTACTTACATCTGCTCAGTTGAGGCATCTTAAGTTGATTATTTTTGATAAATATAAAGCTCTGTTCGTTATAACTTAATCTATCATAGATTTTTGTCCACGGTTGTTATTGAACGTATGTTTTTTGTTGGTCTTTGTGATAAAAAATGTGTTGTTTATTCTAAGTTCGTTATTCGTCCAGAAGTTTATCATCAGTTCAGCAGCATTATGCAGCATTAGGAAATATCCATTGTCAATTAAGGAAACAAGATTATGTCTACAGTAAAAGTGAGGTGAATGAGTTGTAGTATTGGATATGCGACGTAGAGGAAGAAACTGCTGTGCCATACATGCCACAAGTCCTCTTGATTTAGTTAAATGGCATTACATAAAAGTGTTAAGTTCTCACAACCAAGTGCCAGAGAGTGCCAGAGATAGGTAATTTTCGCTATCTGTTATGTTACAATAAGTCCTTCTGAGTATAAGCCCAACAGCTAGAAGAACGAAGTAAGCATTCACGAAGAAGCAGCCTTAGCCGACTGGGTGTCTAAAGGCTAGTCTACGTTAAGGGTCCATTTCAGGATTGCTTTTACTCTTCCCAAATCTGAAGTTGCTGTCCCACTTGCTACTCCAATTATTATTTTTATTTCATAGTCTAAGAAATTCCAAAGCTCGTTTACTTACATACCTTTATATCCTTACCTTCCTACCTATTGATTGGTACCACCAACCCCTCAAGTATCTCTCATACAAGGCTTGGTAACTGAAATATTATATTCACATATTCTTCGTTACCTATTTACCTTCTTTTCTACCTATCTATTAGTTGCCATGAGGTGACTCTCTTGCATGTAGATGTTTCTCTATACCACCCGGTTTCTGTATTACATTACATAAGGCATTTAATAGGATGAAATCACCAGTTTGTAAGAAGAAGCATAGCCTGAATTTGACGGACGTCTCGAACGTCACTGATTCTTGTGAATAGACCTTAAGATTCTAGCTTGCACTGCTATTTATTTTAAACAAACTGTAATTTTTATCTAGTTTGTTCAAAACGTCAATGTGACAGTTGTCATTTTTGAGAGTCTCAATAATTAATGTTGACCATAGTTTATAGAGTTGTAATAGTATTCTTCAAGATATTAAAAATATATCGTAGAATTTAATAGAATCATCAGTAATAAAAGGAAAATGAGCGTTTCTAGTTCTACCGATAAAGAAGATAAAAAATGCCCCAAGTTACAACTTAAAAAGATTTTGCATGCACTTCGCAATAATGTTAAGTCCAAACAAGTTCTAGTAGGAGCTTCTGCAGGCTTTATTACGGGAATAGTTACAAATAAGGTAGGAAAATCAGCAGCGCTCGCTATTGGAGGAGGTATGATGTTACTTCAGATTTTAAATGAAATGGAGTACATTAATATCAATTGGGATCGAGTCAATGATACAGTTAATAATTCAGTTGAAGAAAATATGGTCAATGGTGGAGCTTTATATTTAAAGAAGATCAAAGAATTTGTAAAGAATAAAAATGTTTGTATAATTTATGGATTCGTAGGAGGATTTTTGATTGGAATAGCACTTTAAAAAGATATGTTAGAAAATTGTTCGATATGTCATATTATTAAGTATGAATAGTTAAGTTAAATATTTGTTAAAATTTAAATATAGCGAATAACTTATTTATAAATACTGTAACAAAAAACTTAATAAAAATAAATCAAATAAATAAATAAAATATTAAAAAATAATAAAAATATAAATATTTTACCTATATTTACGTATATTTTATCTAAAAATGAATATCACTGAGACAAAATTTATGATATTCAGTCGCCCACTGTACAAACATGCTTCCCTAGAGACAGATAGTTCAACAAAACATTGAGGGAGTTACATATTTTAAATATATAGGATGCTACATTACAGAACAACAAGACCCAAGTAAAGAGACCAAGTGCAGAATTGAAGCGATAGGCACAAAGTTCCTGAATTTGAAATAACTTTTTGTAACCACAACTTAAACCTAAAATTACATCAACGACTGATCAAATGTTATATTTTATCAGTTTTGTTATATGGCACAGAGACCTCAACTCTGAATGAATGTTATAATAATGAACAAGCCTAAAGCGGTTTGAGATATGGCCTGAAGGGGTTTGAGAATTGGTTGTATATAAGATCGCTCCAAGTACGCTAGACAGCGATGCAGACCAATTCGTAGGTGAATGAACTATCGTGCATAGCATCCTAAATGGAGGAAAAATTAGCCACACATGTGAAACGACCTCTCTATGTAGGTCATATATGAATGAAATGTCGTAAAAGGTTAGTACAAAGGTATCAAAAGCCTTTAGAATTTAACTACTTATTGTTTACGAACTCTTCTTGCTTTCAGCTTCTAAACCTTGGACGTTGCCAATTAACATGACAATTCTAACGTTATAACGCTCCACTTCCTAACAGTTTCACTGACAAAACTCAAACTATTCTTGCAGATTACGCAGTTAGGAAAAGAACCGAAGAGGATTACGGAAAATATGATTCATTAACTCTAGTTTCCTTTGTTTAACATTAAATATAATTTAAATCTAGAATATGTTACCTGTGTGAGTTAATTTCAAAATAGACAAAAGAAATAAGAATAGGACTTACTCACAATCAATTTATTCTATCACCAACGAGCGGTTTCGCATTCTATAATTTGCTATGCATCTTCAGGTCAACGGTACATGGTAAACTAAATGAGGGTGATACAAGAATTACTATTAAATGTTTGGAGAATCATAGTTTTAAGATCCGTTATGGTAAACTAGTGATAGGTGATCATCGGTTTTACTGCAATTATTAAACGAATAAAGTGATAGTTCTTCAGAGAAAATTGATATTAACAACTAGGTTAGGAATGTAGGTATCAATGTAAATTGTTTGTTGAAAATTATATGTGATGTTATATTATTTCAAAGTTATTTATATTTATTAAAGAGGTATATTTTGAAATGTGTGTTATTTATTGAAATTATTTATCTAGAACAGACAGCACCGTAACAAGTCAGATTAAGATAGTTGTTACATGTGTGATGTAAGTTTGGGCGTGCGATTTCTCCAAATTATATTTATCAAGTAAATAAAAATCCAATCTTGGTCCATTTTTAGGCAGAAATATATTATTGGGATGTAAGAAAATTAAATTAGCAATAAATTTTAAGAAATGAAAATTAAAAAACATTTATAGGACAAACAAAACACAATCAAGACAAAACGGACATTTAATTTAAAAAAGGGGGTAGTTTGTAGGTTGTGCACTACATAACTTGTATGATGGAGGAGCTGGCAAACAGGAACAAATAAATTATTCCTGTTAGCTATACGTAACTATGTATGCGAAAGCGAGGAAGGCGAAATGCATACTTCATCCATACGACAGAAATTGATATTCACAGTTGTTTGTGATCGCACGTGGATATATTTTTATACAACTTTTATGTAATATCGTTTATTTGGTTAAAGTTTAGTGGACTAAGGGATAGTGCTATTTTACAGTTCCCATTAAAGGACATACTACTTCAGGGCTTGGCAGCTTTGCCCCTACGCCAGCTACTGGTTCTCCTCTAAGCTTTCCGTAGGACAAAGCAGGTCCCAACCTATACTCCATCTAACCCCCATATATCCTTGCCTTTCCACACTTCGAACGGAAGGTCGTTAAACATTCCTGACGGAGGGCAGCAGCGACCGGCAGTACCAAGATAAGGCACATAGGAAATGATCCTGAACCGGCTTATCATTGCATTATCATTTCCAAGAAGGTTATGCGTGATATCTAAGAGAATGCCTTGGATGTTGTCATGGAGTCCCGGTGACGATCACCGAAACCTCACGGGTCAAGGAGTACGAAATTGGCCACCAGCCACGCGAATATTAGTAATCAAACATCTTGTAGAAATTCAGCTACTGTTCCACAGAAATTACCACTCAGAAAATTAATTAATGTCAGTACATGAAACGTACAAAGGCTAAAGACAATCACAGGTAAACTGTCAATTATTAAAAAAGAGCTGGCAAGGTATAACATTGAAATCTCTGGAGTAGCTGAAACGCATTGGTTATAAGAGGTGAGTGAAATCCAGAACTATACAGGTGTTGCCATTTTGGTCTCACCAAGATTATAAAATTCTGTCGTCAAATTTAAATCTGTTAGCGATAGGATAGTTCTCCTTAAATTGGAAGTTTTGTGTTGTTATTCCATGCTTGTCAGGAAATATTTAAAAATAAATAAAAAAGTTTAACTTTGACACCCTGTATTTCGGTTATTATCAACTTTTGTACTAAGGTAAGTTAGCTTAAATCAACCTATTTTAACTTTAGGAATCTTAGGTTAAGCTATGACCCATTCATTACCAAACACTTTCACTCACTCTCTCTCTCTCCCTCTCTCTCTTTGTCACTCGCTTTCTCTCTCTCTCTCTCTCTCTCTCTATATATATATATATATATATATATATATATATATATATATATATACATACATACATATAGAATTACTATCTCTTTGATTTAGGTTCAATAAGTAATATTAAATCTGGAACTAGATTTTATTGTCCATTGAAATCAAAGTTTCGGCAGGAATATGGGACACTGACATTAATGAATTCTCAATTCATTAATATCAGTCTCCCGTTTTACGATACGAATCTTGACAAAGGCACGTTCAGTGTCCCGTTTTACGTTTTGAATCTTGACAAAGGCAAGGGTTTCCTGCCGAACGGTGATTTCAATGGAGAATAAAATCCAAATATTTCCAAATTTAATATAACTTAGGCCCGATTGTAGATTGCAGGCTTAAGCAATCGCCAAATTTGAGCGTGGGTTCAACTTCATGAGGGTTGTTCAATGTCAAGTTTAGTTAAGCCAAGGTTCATACAAACTTTGATAAGGTTGGCAGTTGGCAACGTAACGCATGCGTATTCATTTATAGGTTAAATCAATTGTCGCAATTTTCCTGCTAATTTTATATTATTTGGTTTTTGTGAATATAAGTCCAGCGATAATTTTATTACTTATTATTAATTTAATTTAATTAGTTTAATTTTTAATCGTTTCCTACGTTAAATTTGTGAACAAACCATTTGAATAGGTAAACATATTATATTCTTGCAATGTTTATTTTCATGAAAAATGGTTTGAAGAAGTATATTTTTTGTAAAATGGACGCAAAAAGAGCTCCCAATTTCACCGTCCAAGAAGAAAAAATATTGGTATCTTTGGCCAAAAAGTACAGCTTGGTTCCTGAAATGTTAATAAATTTCATTTAATAACTAACATATTTCCCATTTTTTATCATTCTTACCTATCCGTTGGATTTTTTATTTTATCAGCAATATTTTGATGTGAATAATGAACTGCATCTTTAGATAACCCAAATCTTTGCAAATTTATTTTTATAGTATAACAGTAACCTAGTAACAGATAATTAAGATTTCTGTTGACAATTACACACAAATAAGTGAGGTTAAAAATGCCTGAGCTGACGATGAACCGTCAAACTTCTACCGCTCAGTAGAACCCGTGTTTAAACCGAGCTCAAGAATTAAACTTAAGATGTACAACCCACTTTATGCGTTAAACTCGGTAATGGCGCTGAGCTTGAGTTGAGCTACGAATGTACAACCGGGCCTTATAGAACCTAAACCCAAAAAATACTAATTTGTATTAAATATAGTGTGGTTCAAGAAACTTCATCAGTTTTTGTATTTTAATCTAATAATAAATTATTCATATTACTTTTTTTGTTGTTGCATATCAATAGAAATGATAAAAATACTGTACATTCCAGGCAAAACATAATAAGTAAGTACCTACGTATTAGCATTTTTGCTTTTCAACTTTTTCTACTATTTTTTTGGTTTTTTTTTTGTGTGAATTGAAATGTTTTCTCCAGTTAAAACACACAATAAGTGTTATATCTTTTTCAAATCAGTTCTATTTTTTTGTCAGCACACTATCATCGACTTTTAAGGAAAAGTTGATAAAATTACCAATATAAGAACCACTTAATAGGGGAAGGGCGGGTAAAATGGCATAGGCGGGCAAAATGGTTTTTTGTTCTCGTAGTCAAGCTAACGGTTCTACGTCACTGTAATTCTGGATACTTATTACAAACAGTGGCAACACTGTCCACATTAAGTCTCGTGCACCTAATTTAACGGCCGTCCACGAGATTGGTGTATTTGTGAAAAAGTGCTGGTCGAGTTCGATGGGTCAATGTAAGTTATATTCAATAATTTATTAAATTAAGGTTATAGAGCTTTTTGAATTCTATTTTTGACAATTATGTTTTATACTCTGCATGTGACCTTAAATAAAAATTGTGTTTATTTTCGTTATTAATTTTTTTCAACTATCAGCAGTCGACAAATACAAAACGGGCAAAATGACATAGCATTATGGCGGGCAAAATAACATACTATGCCATTTTGCCCGTCTGTTTTTCAGGTTAAGGTACATATTCAGTTTTTTTTGCAGATGGTTTATTCATATAAAAGGAAGTCTAACAGAAATAGTTGGAGTGAGGAGACATGCAAAGAGCTTTGGAGGCAGTCCGAAATTCCGAAATGGGTTGGCTTAAAGCAAGTAATACATTTTATGTACCGTTCTCAACACTACAACGTCGAGCAGGTAATAAAAATAAA